ATATGGTTGTTTCTTCAATTCTGTGTTCAATTGCTTAATTGTCTGGCCAGCAGTTAGGTTCTATTCACTATCTATGCTATGCTTGGGAAAGTCGTGTTTAGATTAGAGAAGAATTGAAGAGAGTATGATCTTAACCCTTAAGGGGAGCGAATTTGTGGTTAGGATAGGAATATACCTAATCACCGTGCTTAATTAAATATCGTAATCTTAATGCGTTCTTAATAGATTAATTCCATAGGAATATAGGCGTTAATCTATTGAGGATAGGTGAGTAGTACTTCGGGAGAAGGCTACAAGAGCACTTATCGATTAATTAGTAACCATGAGTGAATTATATGAAAAGGGAGAGTTAATTAGAACACAATACGATTGGTGAATCAATCACAACCCTGGAATACTTGTCTCTATTGAATACACAACAATCAACTCGTTACTTGATAATTTAGTTGTTACTTAGAATTATAGTTAGCATAATTAAACTCTTGAACTTGAATTTAGCTTGACCGAACAACAATATTGGTGTGTTAGTGAGTAGTTGATACAAGTCTCTGTGGGTTCGATACTCGACTTATCATTTTATTACTTGTACGACCACGTATACTTGCGTGTGCGTTTGGGAGCAACAGGGCCCAGCCTGTACACACCACTCCACGTTCTTTGGTCCGTTCTTTGGTCCCTGGAAGTGCTCCTAACAGCCCTGTAGCCTCTCGAGGATAAGTATAGACGTTTCCGTACCGATCCGCGAGACTTTACTAGACTTGCTCATGACTCGTGAGACCTAAGGGAACCTAGTGCTCTGATACCATGTTGTCACGACCCAAAATCCACTAAGGGTTGTGATGGCGCCGGACACCATTGTCAGGCAAGCCAACACCAATTTACTAGTAATTTCTTGTTTTAATATTTTTGAAATCGTTTCCTTTATACATTAAACAATGAGTAATGAATTTCACTGAATAGATATTGATGTCTTTAACAAACTTAATATTAAATAATCCCATAATCATCCCAGAACCCGGTGTCACAAGTGCATGATCAATCACTCAAATAAAGTACAATACCTATCCGGAATACAAATTGGACAGAAAGTAATTACAATACACTGAAAGAGACTATACTGGCTGCGGGTCGCCTCGAGGAATGCAGCTCACCTAGTCTCCGTATCATCCATGTTACTACACCTACTAGGCCACTAGAGATACATGTGCCTGTGCAAAAAAAATGCACAGCAAGTGTAGCATGAGTACGAAAACAACGTGTACTCAGTAAGTATCCCGTCTAATCTCGAAGAAGTAGAGACGAGAGGTCGACTTCGACACTTACTAGTGGTCCAATAATAATACGCCAATAATATAATAAATCAAAGATTTTATAAACATGGTTGCAACTCAGTAGAATAAAGCAAATAAACAATTCTTTCTTTCATAGGAAATTTCCAGATTTCTTTTCATCATTTATACATTTATCTCAGGCCAGGGAGAACGAATATCAATATTTATAAATCTCAAGGCAAACATTACAAGCATGTGCAAATCATGCCGAGTTCGTACGGCCCGATCCAATAATGTTTAAATTGTGCACTGCCAGAGGGTCGAATGGCGCGAACCATAGATGCATCTATTACCCCGCTCGCGAATCATATATGCGACGCGGTCAAATATAAATAAACAATTTCCCTGCTCGCGAATCATACATGCAACGCAGGTACACATAGAAACACACATTTTAACAGTCAATCAAGACTTCATCAGGGAAACAATTATTCAAGGTGTAAATTTCTCTTTTACAAGTCAAGAAAATGAAGTTTAACTCTTTTATAAAGTCATTTGCCACTTCGATATGATTTAAGCAATTTAAACTAACAATAAGGTTACAAGTATTACAAGTAAAGCATGCTTTTGGGTCCTACACTACCCGGACATAAGCGTAATAGTAGCTACGTACGGACTCTCGTCACCTCGTGCGTACGTAGCCCCCGCAAATAGCAGCACATATCCCATTAATTCACCTATGGGGGCAATTCCCTCTTACAAGGTTAGAAAGGAGACTCACCTCGCTCCGAAGTTCTATAACCGTTATTCCATGCCCTTCCAAAAACTCAAGTCGATGCACATTGCTCCAAAACTAGCCAATAATTATGTAAACTCATTAATATATGATCAATTAGTCATTACAATCCAATTTATAACAATTTCCAACCCCGATCGAAAAGTTGACAAAATTTCCCTCGGGCCCACATGCCCGGATTTCAAAAAATTTCGAAGATAAAGTCTACCCATAACCTCACGAACTCAAATATATAATTTACTCCCAATTTCGTGCCCAAATCGTGGTCAAAATCCAAGAACACCAAATTTCTAGGTTTTTCTTCAAAACCCCAATTTTCACTAATTTCCCATGATTTTCCATGTTAAAATCTAGATACAATCCAAGTAATTAACTTGCAATAGGTAGGAATCACATACCATGACATGGATGATGAAAATGGAGCTCCAAAATCGCTCCTAGGTCGGCTCCCATGGAGGAAATGAGATGAAATGAGCCAAACCCATTTCTTTACACTAATACACTGCCCAGACGACTCTTCTTCGCGTTCGCGAGACCCCCGCCGCGTTCGCGAAGAAGAAAATTCCCAAAAACCATTTTTCAAACTCTTCTCAGATAGCCTCTAGTATAATGGCCATAACTTTTTGTACAAAACTCCAAATGACAAATGGTTTAATGTTTTGAAACCTAGACACCAGTATCTATAACTTTCGTGTTTCGGAAATTTCCCAATTCCTTATAGATTTTGAGATATAAGCTGCCAAAGTCAGCCCTGTGCAACACAAATTTCTTCTTCATCTTCCCGGACAGCCTGTAGTGTACAAGCCATAACTTTTCGTACACAAATCCAAATGCTAAATGGTTTACCTTTCTGAAAACTAGACACAAAGAGATACAATTTTCATTTTTGGAGTATCTCTAAATACCTTGTAGATTGTGAGATATGATCTTCCGAAGTAAGACCCGCACAACAGAAATTCTTCTGCTTCGCGAACGCGAGTCCCTCTCCGCGAACGCGAAGAACAAAATCCCAGAAGCCAAATCCTTCATCGCGAACGCGAGAGGACTCCCGCGAACGCGAAGAACAACACCAGACACCAACATCAGCAGTTCCAACACAGCCCGAAATGCTCCGAAACCACCCCGAAACACACCCGAGGCCCCCGGTTTCCCGTCCAATCACACAACTCAGCCCCCTAACATAACACGGACCTGCTCAAAGCCTCAAATCACGTCAAACAACGCTAAAACCATGAATCGCACTCCAATCCAAGCTTAATGAACTTTAGAATTTCAAACTTCTATATTTGATGCCGAAACCTATCAAATCACGTCCGATTGACCTCAAATTTTGCACACAAGTCATATTCGACATTACGGACCTACTCCAACTTCCGGAATCAAAATCCGACCCTGATATCAAAAGGTCCACTTCCGGTCAAACTCCTCAAAACCTTCAAATTTTTATCTTTAGCCAAAATACTCCAAAATGACCCACGGACCTCCGAATTCACTTCCGATCGCCCTCCCAACACCATAATCACTATACGGAGCTATTCCCAAACTCGGAATCCCAAACGGACATCGATAACACTGATATGCACTTCAACCCAAACTTATGACATTCTTTCAAAAATGCCAACTTCCACAATAGGTGCCGAAATATTCCTGGGTCTTCCAAAACCCGATCCGGACATACGCCCAAGTCCGAAATCATCATACGAACCTGTTGGAACCTTCGAATCCCGATTCCGAGGTCGTTTACTTAAAAATCCAATCTTAGTCAATTCTTCCAACTTAAAGCTTTCGAAATGGGAATTCTCTTTCCACATCAACTCCGAACTTCCCGGAATTCAATTCCAACCATGCGTACAAGTCATATACCCGAAGTGAAGCTGCTCATGGACTCAAACTGCTGAACGACGTGCTAGAGCTCAAAACGACCCTTTGGGTCGTTACAGACTCTTTCATTGACCTTATGAGTGAACTAGACAAACAGAACCGGTTTTGAACTAGTTTTAATAAGCGTTAACTTAGTTTTGTTAGTTTAATTTGTTAGTTCTATTGAACTTTAATTTGTTGGTTTTAATGTATTTTTTGAATTGTGTTGTTGTTGTTGTATTGTTGTTGTGTTGTTGTTGTTGTGTTGTTGTTGTTGTTGTGTTGTTGTTGTTGTTGTTGCTGTTGTTGTTGTTGTTGTTGTGTTGTTGTTGTTGGGTTGTTGTGGAGATTTTGGTATTGAATTGTAGTTTATGAATTGAATTATATTGTTATTTAGGGATTTTGGTATGCTGGCAGGTGGTGTAGCTGCTAAAACAGGCATTTTATGCCAAAATTATTACCCAGAAAAGTGACCAAAGTTGGTCGCTTACCTATTAAAAAAAAATTCTGGCAATTAGCGACCAAGGTTGGTCGCTTATATCTAAAAAAAATTAAAAAATTAAAAATTAGCGACCAAGGTTGGTCGATTATATATAAAAAAAAAATAAAAAATTAAAAATAAGTGACCACTAATGTGTTTCTTTTTATTGTTTATGCTATTGTAATCGTAAACCTAATGTATTGAAGAAGTGCAACTGCTTTGAATATTCTTTGAATGGTGGTTTGGTTTACGTACGTACCAGGAATGCAATGATTAGTTATAATTGAACCAAGTTAATGAAACAAAAGAAAATATTGAGGAAATACAAAGACTATCTTGATCATGCGTACATGCACTTTCCATATTAATTTCAGCAATCATACAAATAATTCCATTATAGATTTATTTTAGCCTTAAGAAAACTAGAAGTTCATTAAAAAATTTAAAACATCATGATAATCAATAATAATAATAATAATAATAATAATAATAATAATAATAATAATAATAATATACCTAATTTAATCTTACAAGTGGAGTGTAGTGTATACGCAGACCTTATTCCTACCTCGTAATAAAAATGAAGAGTCTATTTCGATAGATCACCCTCGACTAAAAGAAACTTAATCACAACAGTTATGAAAAAAAAATACATGGGAAGAGAAGAACATTATGACAATCAATTGGATAAAAGTAGTAAGTAATTTACTAAAAGCATTAAGCTAGCTCTCTTTGCTGTGTGTTGTCCCCATTTTCTTTTTGAATTTCTCTATGCTTTTGCAAATATATCATCAAATTTTCAACATATTTTTCTTGTTTTCCCTTATCAGCAAACAATTCTCTCATATTTTTAGCATTTTCCCTATACACTTTTCCTCCTTCCTCCAACATCACCAAACTCAGTGAGTTAGCCACCGAGTCCCTCGTAAACGTCCCTTCTCTTTCATCTCTCGGTATCGAATATGCCATCTTTTTCTCCTCTAATAATCGAGCATTTAAACCTTGATCAGATAAAAATGGCAACAAAATAAGTGCCTTTTCATAAGATATAGCTTCAACTACTGAACTCCAACCCGAATGAGTCAAAAATCCACCCACTGAGTCATGACTCAGTATCTTCAACTGTGGGGCCCACCCTGTGCACACCACTCCACGTTCTTTGGTCTGCTCTTCAAACCCTTTTGGTAACTCGATTAAATCAGTGTCAAATTCACCGCGTTGCTTTCTTAGAACCCAAAAGAACGGTAATCCTGAAAGTTCTAACCCATGAGCTATCTCGGTGAGTTCTTCTTGACTCGGTTTTGCCTCACTCCCGAACGCGACGTAAATCACTGATCTTTTTCCTTGCGAGTCGAGCCATTGTTTTATACTCCCTCCTGAATTATTTTATTCAACAATGTTTGAATGAGTACGGTTCAAAAAGATTGACACTATTACTTTTGGGAAGAGTACGAGACTGTTCTTTAATCATGTTTTTCTTAAATATTTTAAATCATGAATTATTATGACTTTTTATGTAGTTTCCGAAAATATATATTTTATTTTTAAAAACTTGAAGAATTTATGTCCAAATTTACAGTCAAAGTTAAGTACTTTGATCCTCGTAGTGTGCCAATTATGCTTGTGGTTGTTATAGCTATGAGAGAATATTCTTATGATTGTTCATGCAAGAAAAGTGTTATTTATATGAGAAAGCCATCTTTTTGGTATTTGGTTAGCAGAAAATAAATTTCAAGGAAAAATGACTTTTTTTTTTTTTTGGTCGTCAAGGAAAAATGACTTATTTTTGGGGAGGAGTCATTTCTCTTCACATGCACAATAACATCAACTATTAATTTAAAGAAATGAAAAGGTTAAAGTTCTTAAAATGTGTACCTGTCCATACACCATTGCTTTCATCGTCGTAATTGTCAATGGTCAACGGCGAAAGTTGACCGACCGGAAAGACCGGTTTCCGGTGAATCTCTTCGACCAAATGTAACCATTCCGGTTCAAATTCCGAGCAGCTTCTAATGAGCAAAACATCACAACTCTTTATACTAGCACCAAACCGGTAAATATCAGATGCTTCAGACATATTACCGTTAAAACTATCTTTCATCCTTAAAACCTCGTACAATCGAAAAGCTACCGATGTAGGAAAATTCACCCATTTTGGTGAAGCTGTAAGAATTTCTAGTTCATCTAAAGTACCATAGCCGGACATTAAAACCGGCACCGGTCCAATAAAGCCCAACACGGCGGCGATCATAATAGAGAAAAATGCACTAGAAATATTAAGTTCAGTAGCAATTGGGCCGGCCCAATAAGCTGCGAAATCGAAGAAAATCCAGTCCGGTTTATTAGTTTGAAGAAAATGATGAATAGAATCGCGCATGTTATCATAAGCTATTTTTAGATATTGGACTTTATCATATGGTAAGTCATTGGTAGATTCGGCGTTTTTTGGTAGATTTTCTACTGGTTGAAGTGGGATTTTAACGAAACGTATAAAAGGTGATATATTTTGTGGTAATTTTGGAAGGCGATCGATGTTTCGAGGAGTTGAAATGAAGGAAATTTTGTGACCTTTAAGAGCTATGTGCTTAGCTAGTTCTAAATATGGAAGGATGTGACCAAAGGCTAGCCATGGAAGCATAGCTATGTGGAGCTTTTTGTTTTCAGTAGCCATGGGAATTAGAGTTCAAGAGCCACTTGATTATTTTTACGTGTGATATTTGAGTTTGATCATTCATCTCCATTTATATAGTGAAGAAAGGAAGTTTGTACGCCATCAAAGTACAAATTTAATTCCTATTAATTTAAAAGGTTGGGACGTAAAGGAGGGTAGGTTTATCCATCACTGTTGTAAGTTTTTGGTTCTATATATTTGGTAATAACAGTAGTGGCCTTTTCTTATCATCTCTTTGTAACTTTGCTTTTCATCCTTTTTATCATTTAAACATATGTCATGTTCAACTGTAATATAATTGGAGTTCATAGATCATAATGGTATTAAAGTTATTGGGTATCAAATTACCCTATTGCAGTAAAATTGGGTTTCCTTGATTTCAGTGCTTAATTGATGCATCTTGCATAACAGCTAACAGAAAACTACCTTTCCTTAATAAGCAAACTGCTTCATGCAGATTTTTGAAATTTATAACTCTATAAGTTTTCAAATTAAACCGAATGCAATTATTTCTTAATCCCTTTGTTTTGATTTTGGCTTATGGACACCGGCGAATTCCTGAAGTTATTATGATATGTTCTTGAAGAAGTATGAAGATCTAGTCAAGGAAAAAAACTGGAAGCGACCCTTACTAGGTAATACGCTGACTCAGTATTTCCCTTGGCATAATCAAATTGACTACATAGGAGAATCTCTAAACAAGTTCTCTCTTTTAAGTCTTCTTACTATTATATATGCATGTGAAAGGGTTGTGAAGCCTTCATCTAAACCATCTCAGTTTAATTGAGATTCTCTCTTGCAGTTGCCCTTGCATATTCCATTCTCTCCTTCTCTGGTTTATCAACTTGTTGTTCTTTAACTGTTCTTACTTTACTACGCTCGAGGGTTCATCAGCTCGAGGGCACTGTTCAAGCATTGGTTTGTTTTACATTCTTGACAACTCCCGTCATTTATCTTTAAGTTAGTCAATTGGTATTAAGTGAAATCACATATCCTTAAAACCATTGTTATCCAATTTTTAGGGTAAACAACTAGGTAAGTCTAACATATACTGATTATTAAAAGAATTTAGCTAACTTAATTAATTGCAATACCATAAATAATATCTGAAGCAACATAGCTGAACCAATATTGGTCATAAAATCCCAAAAACCGGTAGTACAAGTTACAAGTCTTTCTAAGAATAACTATAAATAAGGAGTACATCACTGTTCCGAAATAATAGAAAGCAATGGGAATAAAATACAATAGTAGGTAACTGATAATAGGTGAATTTGACTATAATCACGCACCAAATAATCACCTTCTTGTGAACTTTTAATGTGGAAAAATGACAACAAAATGCTCTTATTAGTGCTTTTCATGATTTGCAGGTGATATAGGTGTAAGGAAGGCTAAGGAGCGGTTTTGGAGTCAACTATTGATGAAAAAAGGCCAATTGTTGAATTTCCCAAGTATCCCATTCAAAACAGGCCAAAATTTCCGGGTACAAGTTCCACCGCGGTTCTACCGCGACCGCGGTGAAACCGCAGTGGAAGGCAGTTTCTGAAAGTTGAAGATTCCGCGAGGGCGTTTGGCCGCGGTTCTACCGCGACCGCGGTAGAACCGCGGTGGGCACAGTAAACTTCAGGGACTTAAGTGTAAAACACGGGATTTTTAGACCTAAACCCTATTTAAAACACTAGACTTCGCCCAAGAGAGGCATGTATTGATTTTTTAGGTTTCTTAGCAAGGAAAACAATTGGGAGCAAGTACTCTAAACATCTTTCTTCCTTTCTTTTGATTTTTATGATGAATTCAAGCGTAGTTTATTCTCCCATATCTATGAGTAGCTAAATTCCTTGTCTAAGGCTTTGATGGAACCTATTGGGTGATGAACTTCTTGTTTATGTGAATACAAATTGCTAGTTTAATCTTTATTTGTTCAACTTCGTGTTCGTTGTAGTTAATTGACAGGATCCTCAATTAGCTGTACCTATTTAGTGTGCATAACTTGGAAAAGAGTGCATATTTAGGGTATTATTGAACAACACCACTCCTAGATTATTAGAGGAATCTATAATTGCGGGTTTAAAGGCGGGATTAGGAATAACGAAGTCTTGGGTGCAATCTAGATTGAATTGTGCTAAATAAAGCAAGCTAGTGTATCTCGGGAGAGTGCAATAGTAGATTACTGTGATTACTCGGGAGAGATTTGCGGTAAGATTAGCGTTCAAGATTGATAGAGATGAGTGGGTAAATTTGTATGAGCATAAACAGGAGGGATTCCATCAATAGGGAAAATCATTGCCTTAGCTTTGTCCCATAATTGTTTACAACCTTATTAATTTAGTTACAGCCATTTAGTTACTTGCAAGCTAGTTGTTAAAGAACACTCAACTGAGAATTTGAATGTTTGAGAAGCTGGTGCTGAATACTTGGTGGGTTTGAAGATAGCGGTTGATAGGTTAACTCTCTGTGGATTCGACCCTGGGCGTAATACTCGGGTTATATTTGCAACGTCCGCAGAGTTCTTTTTTAGAAGGCATAGTTGGGCGTGATCAGTAACTTCGAGGCTTGCGAACGGCGAGTAGGTATACGTTGAAATTTCCAGCATCGCAAACATAGGGCTCAAACCAACTTGATCATAAGTACTTGAATCTGCACAAAAAATGTGTAGAAGCGTAGCATGAGTAAACCACAGCGATACCTAATAAGTATCAAACCTAATCTGAATATAATTGGTAGATTACAATACACGTTATTCATGCATTGAGCGGGAAAGAAATAATAAGTGTACTGTTACAATAATTTTATATTAATGAACTTAAAGTCGCTGTAAAACAGCAATAAATTTCAAATTATGGATCACTTTCGACTTGAAGGATCTCTGTGATTGTCTATTATATTTAATTTAATAAGTGTACTGTGTATATATTATGTTGTGCTGGAGAAACATTATTGTCAAGAAAGTATGGGATTCGCAGCCACACCAGGGGTGTTCATAAAAATCCGAAAAATCGAACCAAATCGAAAATCAAATCGAACCACCAAAAAAATCGCTATTTTTTGGTTTGGTTTGGTTTTGGGTTTGAATTTTAAAAACCGATCAAATTTGGTTTGATTTTGGTTTAATCAAAAAAAAATCGAACCAAACCGACTATAGGAGTAGTTATTTCAAATTTATAATTACACCTATATTTATAATTACACCTATATATATGTATATTTTTATATAAAGTTTCAAAAATTTAATGGTAAATGTTATAGTTTGCACTTTTAGTATAGTTCTTTACCTTTACATTCTAGTTTGATTGGTAGTTTTCTTTTGTTAAGTGTAAGAATCCATTTCGTGTTAAAAATAATATATTTTTAATTGAGTCCTTAAATTATTCGTCACTATTTGATTCAATTATCGTCAATATATCTTGGTAAATAATAGATTTCTCAAAGGACAATTGATTTGATAGTGTTACGTTAAAAATGTGGTTTCCGGAATATGTGTTTGGTAGTGTATGTCTTATATTTAAGAAAAAACTGATAAATAACCGAAAAAATCGAAAAATCGACATAAACCGAATCGAGAAAAAACCGACTTAATTGGTTTGGTTTGGTTCTAATATTTGAAAAACCGACTTACTTGATTTGGTTTCTTTTTAAGGAAAAACCAATCCAAACCGAATTATTAACACCCCTCGCCAACATAGACATTATCCTTTCATTATTAAATTACTGTTGCTCTAAATTATGTGACTTTAATAATATGGTTTCAAGATCATTTCAAATCCCAATGATATGATTTTGTTGGGGGGGGGGGGGGTGGACCTCTCTCAGTCAGTCAAGATTTCAAAGACAAAAGGAGGACGGTTCCTACGCAAGTTGATTGTTGTTTTTTATTCCTCACTCTCGTATAGGTTAACTTGGTTAACTTGGTTCGTTCCCATAATATTTTCCTTCATTTGCTTGTGATTGAATGCTTACCATTTCATCATTTCTTAGATTCATGGACTCAATACAAAAATTATTTTCTATTTTTTTTGTGTTGCTCGTCTTTTTCTTTTTCATCGGTGTCCTGTATTAGAGTCCGATTAAATTTAGATTAATATAAAAAAAATTCCATATTAGGGGATAAAATAATTTCTAATATAGACAATTTTATATTTATGACTAGAACCCGAAACTTCTTATTAAAGATTGAATGCTTACCATTTCACCATAACTCTATTGATTTGTCGTTGCCCATCTTGCAAAATCACATCATATTTGATTGGCCCATCTTGCGATAAATCACTAATAAATAATCATCTTTGATTGGCTATTGGTAGGTATACTTAGATAATGACCGTTCAGCTACACTAACGCAAGAGCGTCCTGTTGAGTCGGCATTTAATTTTCGTAGAAGATTAAACGTATGTGTTTGGACTAAATATGTTGTTTTTACTATAATTTCTTGATCATATCCATTTTTAAGAGGCGAGTACATATTGCCAATAATTGGATTTCTCTTCTATACACACTAAATGAAATACATCGACAGACTATTTGGGTTAATTCTTCTTATTTTATTGCTAAAAATTAAAAACTCAATTTCTCAACTATTTATATAAAGCTAGAGATATTAACCACCTTATACATCCACTGCTTTTCCCACTTCTGATCATTTCTGTAGGATTTGTACATTAAGTCAACGGAAGACAAAAATTAATACTAATACTATTAATTTCCTTCTTCGTGTGAGATGCCCAATTTGCCAAAACACATAAAATAATTTGTATGCCTTTCTCGGTATGCGTGATGGTGACCGTCCAACTACGCTAGCTGATTAATAACTGGGTTCAGAACAAAGAAGTTATTGTTATAAATAGAATTGTATTTATGATAAATGTTTATGTTTAGGGAAATTTTAGGGTTTATTATTTGGTGGCTAAGTCACTTTTCCCCTATAGATAGAGGGGTTCTATGCTATTGTAATTGATCCCAAAATCAATAAGAATTCTTTCTCTCTCTATATTTTTCAGCAATGCTCTTCTTCTTTTATTGTTTTATAACACGTTATCAGCACGTGACTCTAACCAATTGAGTAGAAGCTTTGTGATTGAGCATAATGATTGTCAATTATTCCATAAACTTCCTTCATGATTAAATTTTGGATTTAAGATAAGTATTTTACTTTATTTTTCTCTT